TGGAGACAGAGTCTCACTATGTCACCCTTGGTAGAGTGCCGTGGTGACACAGCTCACAGCAACCTCAAACTCTTGGACTTAAGCAATTCTCTTTCCTCACCCTCCCAAGTAGCTGGAACTACAGGCATTTGCCATCTCTTGCCTCAGCCTCCAAAGTAGCTGGGACTACAGGCACCTGTGACAACACCCAGCTATTTTTTGTTGCAGTTGTCATTGTTTAGCAGGCCAGGCTGGGTTTGAACCCACCAGCCTTGGTGTATGTGGCTGGCGCCATAACCACTGTGCTACGGGTGCCGAGCCCAAAGTTGTTTTTTTTTTTTTTTTTTTTTAAGAAAATCGCTTAACCTCAGCTATGTTGCTAAGGCTGTTTTTGAATTCCTGGGCTTAAGCGATCTTCCTGCCTCAGCCTCCTGAGTAACTGGGGTTATTAGACCAGTAAGAAAGATTTTTAAAAGCTGTTTTCTGTGAAAGAAATGCTTGGTAGACTCATCGAGGTACCATTGTTCCTCTGTCTGGTTCTAGTAGAGAATCTGAAATTTTTGGTGTGGTTCAGAGTATAACAGTTTAACACATGAGTGTTCACAGGAGAGTTTTCTGAGTCTCTTTGAGACAGTTTAGAAATGCTGATTTCCTGTGTTTTTCTTGTGGAGGGAATAGAGGCTTAGGGATGAAAATGTTCTTTAACTCATTATCTCTAAAATATGGGTAATAATAGTTAGGATGAGTAAAAGCACCTGGTAACCAGCTGTGTACCTTTAATCCTAGCTCTTGGGAGGCTGAAGTAGGAGGATGACGTGAGCCTAGGAATTGGAGACCAACCTGGGCAATGTAGGGAGACCCCATCTCAGAAAAAGTAAACATTCTTTTAAGGATTACATACCATTTAGAACTTTTTTCTTACTATTGTGAGTTGGTTTGGAGTAAAGGTTTTTGTTTACAACTATTCAATAATTTCTCCTTTATAATCGTTTAGGTTTTATGTTAGATCTTTTGAATGACTGAAATAATTGTTGATGCCTAGGCCTTTTTTTATTTGTAGGAAAGTTGTAGATAGCCTGAAGATGAAATATATTTGTTAAATTACTCTCTTTACATTTTCCTTTACTCATTTAAACAGTAAAGATCATGTTGATTATTATATAAGGGAGGCTAATCTTACTGCCTCTGGTCTCCTATTTCCTTATGGCTAAAATGAAAAAGCTAGACTGAGGTCCTTTCCAGCACTCTAATCCTGCTATCTCCAAGCACTGTTTAGTAGACACCATGATTCTGGGACCTCTTCTTAAAACTTGGAAACCTACATTGTATTAATGTTAATTTAGTGGTTATCGTAGAACCTTTAGGGTTTTATTCCTACTCCCATCTCTTATTTTCTTTTGTTATGTGGAACTTCCCTTAAGGATGTGAAAGTGAAGGCAGGAAGTAGACTCAGTGCTAAGGGCTCTGTCTTGTGGAAGGACCAGCATTTAGGTACCTGTCTAGGCCTAGAGGGCTCCACTAGTCTGTATCTTTTGCTTCCTGTCTTTGTTGAGTACCATGGTTATTGTAGAAAGAACTTGGGCTTTAGAACCAGACAGAAGTGGTTCAGAACGCCGCTCCTGTAGTCATTGGTTGTGTGATCTTGGGTAACTCACTTAAACATTCTACGCATGAGTTGCTTCATAGAAAGTCATGTCTTTATTGCAGGTTGTCAGATTGAGAGATAGTATGTGTCAAGTGTAACAGTGCTTGGGTCAGTGATAACTCTAGTACCCTTTTGTTTCTTTTGAAAATACAAGACATGGTGTAGATAATTTTGTAAAACTCTGTAGTCTCTTCTGTTTTGTGATGGCATAAGCATATGTATTTCATGCCAAAGCATGGTGTTAACCATATTTAATTGCCTTTGAGTTGAAGTACATGTTAACTTCTATTTCAGATTCCTTCAAGTTTACCTTAAAAACCGTCTTGGTCTCTGCATTTATAAGATTTTTTTAGGCCGCCTACTTGTAAGTTCCTTTTTGATGAAACAGTTGCCCTTTTCTGTGGTTAATTATACATCTTTGAGCCCTAGTCTTTTCTACTGTGGTGTGACTGAGTTATAAATATACACTTTTCAGGCAGTCACCCAGGTAGAGAAAATAGTCTCTGGCTTGTACCTGGTTTGTGCGGGGACATGACATATCAAAGGACTTCTGCCTTCAGGGTTGGGGGCATCTCTTCAGTGTTATATGTGGTGTGTATACTCTCGGAACACATGGGTGAGTTGTATGTAGTGGGCAGTGGTGATAGAGGCTAAAAAAAGGAACCATGCCTGCTGATGGGTAGGCATTAAAACCCACAGACCTTGGGTACAGAGTGGTATTTTTGAGGATGTTCACAGAACCCAAACTAAAGTCACTATCTAAAATGTATCAGAGTTTGAAAGTATAGCTAGATTTAGATACCTTATATTCTTTTTTTTTTTTTTTTTTTTTTTGCGACAGAGCCTCAAGCTGTCCTCCTGGGTAGAGTGCCGTGGCATTACAGCTCACAGCAACCTCCAACTCCTGGGCTCAAGCGAGTCTCTTGCCTCCGCCTCCCAAGTAGCTGGGACCACAGGCGCCCGCCACAACGCCCGGCTATTTTTTGGTTGCAGCCGTCATTGTTGTTTGGCGGGTCCGGGCTGGGGATTCTAACCCGCCACCTTAGGTGTACGTGGCTGGCGCCTTAGCCGGTTGAGCTATAGGCGCCGAGCCGATACCTTATATTCTTGACATAAAGTCAGGAATATAATTTTTATAGCGTGTTAATTGATTATACAAAAATAGCTAATGGAAGATAGTTTTTTTATTTTTTTTTTTTGAGACAGAGCCTCAAGCTATCCCCTGAGTAGAGTGCTGTGGCATCACAGCTCACAGCAACCTCCAACTCCTGGGCTTAAGTGAGTCTCCTGCCTCCGCCTCCCAAGTAGTTGGGACCACAGGTGCCCGCCACACTGCCCGGGTATTTTTTGGTTGCAGCCGTCATTGTTGTTTGGTGAGCCTGGGCTGGATTGGAACCCACCACCTTAGGTGTATGTGGCTGGCGCTTTAGCCCCTCGAGCCACAGGCACCGCGCCTGGAAGATAGATTTTTAAAATATAGTCAGAATTTATTGGGAAAGAAGTTAATGAAATATTTTTGATGGTAGGAGTTTTCTTTCAAGATACTTTAAAAAAATAGTTATCAAAGATGTCTAAAAATTTCTAAAACTGTGTTATCATTTATGACTATGTACATCAAATATGGAGACTCGTCTTACATTTGCATCATCCAGGCATGATTTGGGGACCCATGTTTCATTAGATATTAGCACTTGGACATTTGTATGAATGTGTTTTAACATTTTATTATAGAAAACAAAAAATAGGGGTGGTGCCTGTGGCCAGCCCCATATGCTGGAGGTGGTGAGTTTAAACCCAGCCCCGGCCAAAAAAAAAAAAATTGCAAAAAAATGCCCCCCCAAAAACAAAAAATGTATACTCAGGCCAACAGGCTTAGTGGTTGAAGAAGAAAAAATTTAAGAAAAAAATATATATATACAAAGTAGAGAGATGAATACTATGAACCACAGTGTACCTATCATCTTGCTTCAACTATTACTAGTTTTTGGTTAATTTTATTTCAGTTGTATGCTCACCCTTCTTTTCCCTTTATTCTCTACTTGATATTCAGACATTGTATCATTTTATTTATGAATACTTCAATAAATATGTCTAAAAGATAAGAATTTTTTAAAAACATAACCATGTTGGCTTAGCGCCTGTGGCTCAAGTGGCTAAGGCGCCAGCCACATTCACCTAAGGTGGAGGGTTTGAATCCAGCCCAGGGCTGCCAAACAACAATGATGGCTGCAACCAAAAAATGGTCAGGCGTTGTGGCGGGCGCCTGTGGTCCCAGCTACTTGGGAGGCTGAG